TGCTGTGGTCACCTGGTAGATTGAGTATTTATCAGTTGGTTGAAGACCTATTACTAATTTTACCAATATTCATGAGAAAAAATTTCATGTAAGTTTTTCAGGTAAGCACTTGGTTTTTGAAGTATTTGGACTTTGTAGCAGGATATGGGTGAGCAGTGATCTTATTTGACATGGTATGTTTGTTCATTCTCAATAAAAGGTTGAAAGTTTTACCTCTCTAGGAATGAATACACTGATTAGCACCTATAACTTCTTTAGCTAAACTGATGTATACACTCTTTTAAGCTGCTACTGTATTAGCAGTTCCTAAAGTAAAAACACCACAGCTGTAGGAGAAAAGAGGAATCTTCAGTTTCTAATGATACTTCTCTCTTTTTAAGTACTGTAGTGGAAAGGGAACCTCCGTTATTGCTATTGCATTTCAAGGAATATTTTGTTCAATTAAAATCCTGTCATGGAATAAAAAAATGTCTGTATGCTTCAGGAGTAGGAATTCCTAATTAAGATTTTTTTTAAAAGGATGATACACACACACAAATTCTTTTCAAAATGTTAGGAAAATGTTCTCATGAGAATAAGAAAAAAAAAAACCCTGAAAATATCATCATTGGTATATTTTCGTGGAAATCTATAATTAACTAATTCACAGCAAATACAATAATGGTGAGAGAACTATGGCTATATATAACTTTATTGTTCCAATTAGTATCAAATTTCACAGGTAATTAACACTCCAGAGGAATGTGAGAGAAGCTAGAATAAAAAGTCCGTATGAACGTAGAACAAAGCTATTGGATCATATTACTTTATGCTGCTGCAAAGAATAGAGTAAAATTCTCCAAAACAAAATTCTAATTTATCTTACAGCATAAAAAAGTATAGCATAGATCCTTTAAAAATAAAGTCATAATTACAGTGACAATTGAACAGACTCACTGAGCAAAACATTTTATTTATATCTACAAGTTGAGAAACTGATGAAGCATAAAGGACAAATATGTATAATCAGATGGAAAGTTGTCTGAAGAGAGGGATTTGGTGTAGTTCAATGGCATTCACCCAAGAGAGTTCCTGTTTGAAACTCACATTAACAACATAACACTTCATTGCTTTACTGCTAAATCAGCACAATAGTAGAGCTCTATAAAAGGTTAAGTTTGAATCCAGTGTTATTTGAACAATGTCCACTAAAAGGAGGTCTCTTGTTTTATATTTACAATTTTTATTACAGATTACTAAACCTTCCTCATTATATCAAATGACTAGGAACTGCTAATACAGTAGCAGCTTAAATAATTTATTGTATAACATAGAAACCTTTTAAAAGTATAGGGTAATTGATCCCACTATTCTCATGAGCTCAGGAAAAACAATCATTTCTCAAGAACTGTTGCTTAAGCAAATTAGTTTTGAAATCTTCTTTAGGGCTGGATCTGCATAGCACAAAAATAAAGGTGAGGAGTCTAAATATCTGAAAAGCCAAATGATATTTTTGCAGGCATTACAGCTAGTTGGCGACAGAGCTAGAACTATTGTCAGGTTACACAACAGTGGTGGGCAGTGGCTATTTTGACTATGAGTAGCAAAGTCCTTTGTCTCAGACACAGGCATCTCATGTCTTCTGCAAACATCCATGGAACTGTGGCAGGCTATCTCATTAAGTCATATAGTCATTTTGATGGGAATTCTTTGACTTCTAGGTCTCCTCCACACCATTAACCTTACTTAAGTAGGATAAAATCTCAACCATTGGCTTCCCAAATACTCCATTTTTCTGGAAATCCAACCCTTTGTCCCTCTACTGTATTCCAAACAAACACAGAGTTAGGGCTACAGAGCCCCTAGTACCTATTTTCTTATAATGTAAACCCACCCTCTTGGTCATGAGTAATTAGTCTCTTTCAATCTGTTGGAATTGGTATTGGAAAAGAGAAATTACCTCCTCACAGGAAACTGGACCTGAGAACATATGTACTTGAAGCTGTCAGCTAAAATCATGTTCTTTCATGTGGATGAGGAAGCAGAGAATATCAGTTTGTACATTATTCATAAGATGACATATGTCTCACTTTGCCTGAGACATTGCCTGCTTATATCTGTTGTCTCTCTATAATTATTATTGTGTTTTCTCTCGAAATGTCCCAATATGGAAGCTAAATTATGTGGTCACCCTAATCACTCAGACTCTTTGAAGGTAAATGATAGAAGCTCAGCTTGAATAGCAGCTGCCTGCTGTTTGGTCCTCCTTTAAGTGTTGCTGTATAGGCCCTTGCTGTTATTGGTGATATGCGAAGTAACTCACATTAACATGTTTACTCTAGACATGATTGTTACGAAGGCAGTACTACCTGCTCCTCTGGCCATCGACTTTATGAATTGGCAGGTTAGGCAATCTTCAAGTATGGATGCTAATAAGAGGCTATGACTGTCATTGGGATTTTGACTCATAATTCATGCATTCATTCTCTATGTCAAATAAAGTCAACTTACAGGGAGAAAGAATGAAGCGGATGGACAACAAGCAGTAGAGGAGAGAGAGAAGACATATTGGATTTCCTTTCGGTCTTCTATCCCCACTGAGGCTGCCTCAGAGGGACATTCTTGCCTTTAGATTCCATAAGATGCCACAATTTCTTCAAAATTAAAATACTTTTATATTTATGTTCTCTCCAAAATGTTTCTATAATTTGCAATTCTTAAAATCATAGTGCAACTCAGAATCTGAACTCAAAATTAGCAGATTTAATTTTCATATGTGATCAGATAAATAACTAGGATTCATTTACTTATTATACTATATGAATATGTAGTATACATTCCAACTTCTTGATCAACTTTGAAGATTTTCTATCAGCATTTCTGGAAGCCCTAAACTAAGCCTCAGTTGCTCTCAAAAGGTCCTAAGTAGTGCTGGTTTAATTCCAGTTCTTGTTCTACCTCATCTGTTGATTTAATGTGCATACTGTAAGGAAAATCCCTGGACTGTTCTGTACTTGGGGATTACATTTCTTAAAGATAAATATATAAAGATCAAAACATAGCAATTTGTTTCCATAAATTTTACTATATGAATATCAAATGCTTAATATATGCTAGTCATTGTGCTAGCTTCAGGGAATATAGTAAGTAATACAGACATATTCTTAGCTCCCTGAAATCATCAAACCAGTAATTACAGATGTGAGAGCCTTCCTATTCTCCTCCAAAAGACTGATCAAATAATCCACTAGTATATTCAGAACCTTGTTTATACATCCTGGGTATTCATAGCCTGTGAAGAGTCACTGAAATGAAAATTCTTTGCTCAAGAATGGATTCCATTCTAAAAAGAGAGATTTAGAAAAATACGTAGGAATATTTTTAAAGCAAAAATATACATGTATAAATATTATGTATATAACATGTAAGTTATTCTTAGAAAGTGATTACTTTAAAAAAAAAAGCTTTATTGTTTCACTAGCTTTTACACTTGCTATGGACATGCTTTGAAATGGGTTTTACACTAGATTGTTGGGTGGACTAGAATGAAAAACAGGATTCTACTGTGTTAGCCGAACCTCTGTAGAGAAAGTATTTTTTTCTCAATTTGAGGGAGATTGTTCAAAACCCAAGAAGAAGCATGAGAGGTGATTTGGAGGCAAGGGATGATTGAGATCATTTTCTCAGGCTTAGTGGATGAGGCAAATAAGAAAATAGACTGATTACTTCTAATGTTCTCCTTTTATGGGAACAAATTGCTATGTTTTGATTTTTATTAATTTATCTTCACTAAATATAATTCTCAAGTACAGAACAGTCTAGGGGTTTTCCTTACAGTGTGCACATTAAATCAACAGATGAGGCAGAACAAGAATTGGAGTTAAACCAGCATCACTTAAGCCCTGCAGGGACCTTCTGAGAACAACCAAGGCTTGGTTTAGGGTTTCTAGGAATGCTGATGGAAAATCTTCCAAATTAATCAAGAAGTTGGGATAGCAGAATTTTCACAATCTTTGGGGTTCTAAGTAGGCAATAGAATGTTGCATATGACCCAGAGAACATGAAACTCTACTTGGCCTTCCCCATTAAGTCCACTTAAGATGGAAACTGATGGAACTCTCCTCCATCCTCCCCACCTGCGGGTAGCGAGGTGAAGGAGATGAGATGTATTCCTTCTGAAGCTGTCCACAGAGATATGAGGTCTGTATATAACCAGCTGACAATCCTTGCTAAAGATATTGCTAATGATATTGAGAATTCACTGGGGCTGCTCCCTGTTTCAGTGCTTTTCATACATCACCATGTAATGTTCATAAACACATGTGACAGATACTATAAGGATCCCCATTTATAAGTGAGGAAATTAAAGAGAGAGAGTTAAAGTTAGCTGCCCAAGGTCACAACCAGGAAGTGAGAGGGCTAGAATTTGAACTCAGGCCCTCTGGCTGCAGAGTGCATGCTTTGAATAATTTTTTTTTCTGCCCCTCCTTAATGGTGGTGGGCTGTGGCAGCCAGTGATTGGCCCACAGTAGGCGCTCAGTGAATATTTATTGACTAACTGACCTTTGGGCTCATGGGGAACTCTATTTGATTTGCCAAAAGGTAGGCTAGCCCTAAAATGTGTAGTTAGATAGTCAAATGTAGAAGGCTGGCCTGCACTTTCCCCTCCCTGTTGTATCTATTGGAGATGGAAACCTTGTGGAACCAGGGAAATGTTCTCAATCTTAGAACTAGATAGTTCTTTTTGGGTCACATATCCCTTGAAAACCATATAAAAGCTTAGAATCCTCTCTATATGAAAATGCTCACACAAAAGTTTCTGCATAACGCCCAGGATCATTTAGAGCTCTAGAGCCTTCCAGAACTAACAACGCTAGTTTTTGAGGAGTGACTCCGAACTTTGAATGCTGAGGCTTTTCACTCGCAAGCAAGTTCTATGAATGGTTATTAATTCAGGGAAAATTGTATTCACATTTTACCGAAGGAGTCTTTTTTGTCTTTTCTCCTTCAGGAGAAAACTCTGTGCCAGTGTTACCGTTGGCTGTGGTCACTAGCTGGCTGCGCAGTCTGTGCATTCCACGGCGGGGCTCCAGCAAGGCGAAGCGCGTTGCTGGGGAGCGGATGTATGAGCCCCAGGTTTCTGACATGGACATTACTGATGACGCCTCTGCTGAAAAAACCTCATTATCATGGTAAATACTGGGAGAACAAAGAGACCATTCTCAGAACAGAGGGCTATCTGTTATTGTTAATTGGATATTTTTGATTATGGTATTAAGTTGGTTAGAGTATTACAGCATGTCATTTTGGGCATGAGTTCATTTAGGCAGCTTCTCTTAATATGGGAACTAATTAGCACATGCTCATACACTCACAAGCCTCTTTTATCTGAGTTGCTGTGAACGACAGCTGCAAACTGTAGCCATCTATTTAAAGAGTTCACAGTCTTTTGGGGGTAGGGCAGAGGTGAAGAGTATAGGAAAAATGACCCGAATTTTAATATCTTTTTCAAATTTAAGATTCTCTGGAAAAAGATATAATTTGAATTAACATGAATTCCTTTCATGAGATTGTGGAAATATAAACATGATTCATTGCTAGAATTGATGTGTTTCAGTTCTCAGCCAAAAACTAGAAAGTATTCAATAACTTTGGGAGTGGATGGACGCCTTATCTCTGTGAAAATACACCACATTCTTGAGCACAATGAGGAACTGTAGGATGAGTGTAAACAGCAGTGGATGGAGAGATGAAGATCTAGACTCAGTTTTAGTTTTGCCATTAACAACCTATGTGATCTTCGACAGGCAAGGGATCTGAGACATCCCTGAGCCTCAGCCATGAAGAAAAGGAATTGAGCTGTAAAGTTCTCATAAGCCCTGAAATACTATTATTTTATGAAAAGATTAGATTTCAATTTTTTTTTTTCATTGTGAGTTGCTCCATGGCTCTTGAATCTGATAGTTGAACTCCCTGAAATCTGTGTTCTGTGTCCTATTAGTGAAGGCTGAGACTTCCAAATGAATGCATCATGACATCTTGCATACACATAGGGATTGTTACATTGAGAAATGAATCTAATGCTTAGAATCCACTTTCCAGTTTCTCTAAATTTTACTTTCAGGATCAGGAGCAGGACATTATTTATTTTGTCTTTTCCCCTTGCAGTATCCTACATGTTCAGGTAATAATAAGACTTATGCCTTTGTTCAGGTAAATAATAAGACCTATGCCTTCTCCCCTAAATTTAGTCTAATTCTTTCTTTATTTTATTTTATAATAATAATTGTTACTATTTTCTTTCATCTGTAAAGTTTTGGGAGGCACTCAGACCTAACAGAGAGGACTTTGTTTAACTGAATTGCATATTCATCATTTAAGCCATTTCATTTCTGTGATCTTAATTTTCTCAAATATCAGCTTCCCATATCATGACCTGTAGACATTCTAAGAAGACTACAGTTGAAGCAGAGTGGAACATTAGCAAAGACAATCAAAGAGAAAATAAAATAAATAAACTTTTATTGTATTTATGCTTTCAAAAGATGGGTGTATGGGATATACTATATTTTGAAGCTAACGTGTAGCCTAAGGGAGAAAAACATGGGGAGTGGGCATTAATGATGTTGACATAAGTTTTATTATCTGAATGTCACATTTGATATTGGTGCTTAGGTTCAAAAACAAAATTATAATCTCATCACAAAGTTTTAATATATTGGAGAAACATTCATTTGAAAAGCTACGTAATGATAAATGTTTTTGTTTATTACCATGACTAGCTGGTGATAATTTTGTGGATCCTTTCTCTTAAGATTGGGGTTTCTTTCACATTCTGGTCTCCTCTAGAGGTCGATTCATGAAGTCTTGAATAGCCTGATGCAAAGGAAGCCATTTTTTGATAGATATTTTCAGAGCTGTAATCCAGCTGCAGAAATAACAGCACAGGACAGGTCATTAAAAAATTGTTGTATTCTAGGGAGATGAAATATTATAAAATCTTTTAATTCATTTTCTAATTGTTTCTCTTGGGTATTTAGTTTGAAATTAATAAGATAAACAGTGCTCTTTAGGTTTTGGATTGGACAGAAAGGTAAAACAGCAAATGAGAAATACGCAATTATAGCCATGAAGTAAAATTACGTTAATGTAAATAACGGGATCAGAAGAAGGGTACAGTGTTTATAAATAGTGAATAATAAAGCTAGAAGATTTAAAAAACTATTCCTAGTATTTTAGTATTTCTCTTTAAATTTAAAGTCTAGTTGATCACACATACAAATATTGCTACTAGGGCAAAATATTTCTTTGTTAAATTCTGAAAACCACAGCAAACTCTCTAGTTAACTCTCCTATCTTCCCCTCTCCTTTCCTTTCATTTTCTTGGATGATGTTTTATAAAATGTGCCCATATGACATTTATTTTAAGGGTGGTTAATATGTCTTATTTTAAAAAAATGGTTTGGGTCAGATAAGCTTAGATAATGGGAGTTATGGAGAGTCAACCAGGATTTTTTCCATCAGGATGTCTCAGAAATGTTAATTAATATGCTTTCTAATTCTCTGAGAGGAGAATATTATTTGTATTATTTCCTAAACTTACGTAATTATTTTTTGAGAGTGAGCTATCTTGTGAAACCAGAGTTCCATGAACCACACTTTGTGAAACCCTTGCTCTTATCCTTTGAAATATTTCTGTACTGACTCAATAGTGTTTCCTATTGATAATATCCACTCATGGATTTGGAAGTGAGATCCAACTATTCACCCTCTTCTCTTACAGAATCCAGTGGATTTTATCAGATAGGAGTTCACACTATTTCATTGACCCCTTTTCTAATATGCCCTTTGGAGTTTCACATTCAAGAAAATCATCTTAATCTGCCACTCAGATCGTATAGCACAAACCCAAGGAAAAAGATCTTGGCAAAATATCTAGCAATTCCATATTCATTATCCTCTCACTCTAGCCCATCCTTAGGAATGGCTGGAATAGGCAGGGTTTACATAATGGGAGAAGACCTTGAGAGATCTCTTTTCCCTTCCCCAAATGGTAACTTGCTACAAAGTCTGAAATTCTACTTTTGGAGTTTTATTTCTTTAGGTTAAAACAGTGTACCTAGTTCTTGCAATTGCCCCTGAAATTTTTATTATATCCTCTGTTTTAATAAATTACTGTGAGTTTCTTTATTAGATCTTTTTAATGCAAACAGTTGGGAGAAAAGTGTCCATATGAGGTGAGGGATGGTCTCCAAGCAGTTGGAGGGCATTGGCTAACTTGGGGATTGCAGGTAGGACAGGGAGACTTGAGAGATGTAGGAGGATGGTCTTGGCACCAGAGAACACTTCCTCTGCCTCATGGTTTTGTCTTTGTTAACGTACCTGCTCTCTTTTTTTTTCCAGAATCATTATGGACCAAGTGCCCATTTGTATATGCCAGGTTGGATACTGATCATATCAAATTAGGTGGAGAAATCTTAGGACTTTTAATGGCTTATGACAATCCAAAAACCTGACCAAATTCAGATAGACATATAATAAGAGTTGTGAGAAAGGCGGTGAAACAGCAAATCTGTGAATTAATAAATTATAATATTACAGATTATAGTATTAGTAGATTTTTTGTTGTTGTTAATGCCCGAGTCAGCCATCACCTTGGGAAAAATTATGAACTCCTTTTCCATTTGAAAAAAATACTTCTAGAAGAGTCATCTATCTATTGAAAGAAAAAAAAAAGTCTTGGGGAATATTAACTTTGGAGACTATGCAGAGAAAGGGAGAGATTTAATTGAAGATGTGGAGTTGAAGTTGGAAAATAAAAATAAGAATTTGCAACAAGACTCTTGGCAGGACAGATTAAGAAGAAGAAATATGTAGACTTTGACTTACCGTTGGTTTTCTGTTTTATTTTCTGCACAGAAATAGAAAGTCTTAAATTCTTCAGATGGAGGTTTAAGTTCAATTACTGCTTGCTTGCCACTAAGGGTCTGCTCGATTACCCTATATCCTTGCAGATATAAGCCACCTACAGAAGGTGAAAGAAAGAAAGAGAGAGGA